CGAGTGCTCGGGGTGCGGTCGGGGGCAGCGGAGGGCCGGGCGGAGCGCAGTGCTCTGCCGGGCAGGGGAAAGCAAATCTTGTGCAGAAAACTACATCCGCCTGCTTTTACGTCTGCGGCATGAACCAGCTCATAGGCCTGGGCAGTTCGGCGTAGTTGTGTGCTGTTTTACGTAGAGGAGCTCCTGTCCCGTTCTCTGGAGGCCGCTGGTCCTGTTTGCATCCCAGTAGCCCAGTGCTCATACTGGTGGGTTCAGGTTTGCCGCGTTGTTACCAGGGTGGCCGCGGATGGGCAGCACCGGTTACACAGGATGGGGTTGACTGCAGGCTCTGTTCCGGTGCTACTCAGAACAACTCACTTGTACTTCTCTCTGCCTTTTTTTTTTCTTTTTTTTTTTCTGACAGCCAGGAAACGAAACAGTAAAGAAACAGCGATTGCACTTGAACAGTTGTTGCCAAAGCGATGTCATGTTCTTGGACTGGTCACCCCGGGGATTGTAGGTAGGAGGAAAAAGCGTGATTTTGCAAGGGATCAGATTGAAAGTGTCCAGTGTATCACATACTTATTCCAGTTCCTGTTTATCACAATTTCCTGAGGTTTTTGAAAGCGTAGTCTTGCCGTCTGACACGAGAGTTCTCGCAGCAGTTACTGTGTTCTGCCTCCTACCTTGTTCAGTGCTAGCTTCGACTCTAAGGAGTTCACAGTGTTGTTTGTTGCTAACTCATGCAGAACCTAAATTCTTGCTTTGTGTGGTGCAGTTATAATTAACAAGGTTGATTTAATTGAGCAGGCACTTTAGTGTACTTTTTCCTGACACCTTAATGCAATCCTTGAATGTTTCTTGGATTTACCTGTCTTTTCAGAGTCACATTGTGACTAATTGTGCAGGATGTCTTTGGTATGTACCCATTTGTTACGGTCTAGCAGGAAGCATATGTAATAACTAGAAAATTGACAGTAGTGCTTCCCTTTTCTATCACTACAAAGCGTTTTCCTAGTTTGTAACCTTAAATTGTCTGAAAGTAGGGTGGTTGATTGTTGCCACTATCATAATTCAATAATACACTCCCAGTATTCATGACAGTTTGCTTTTTACTGTCATCATATGCTTCCATAACACCTTAAAAATCTGAGTATGTTTGCGTGCACGCAGAATTTGACAGGAACGCTTGAGACAGCTGTATTGCACAGTGCTTGTTTTCCAACTTTTTTCCATTTGGTGTGGCTCAGGGCAAATATCCGAATAACAGCCCTGTCTCCTTGTCCAAAGCGACTTTGGCATGATTTGTACCCAACTGGACTCCTGTGTGCTTCATCTTTCCAAAACACCAACAGAAAAATCACACCAGTTGTCAGATAGGTTGTTACGGAAATGACCTGTCATGTTTTACATCACCTAAGCTGCCTCTTTTAATCTGTTTTCAAGTGTAGACGATAGTATTAAAGTCACTAAACATCAGGTGTCTGGTTTTGTGTCTTTGTAGTTACTCCTATGGGTTCAAGCAGCAATCAGCCTCAAGAAATCGAAGAGGGCGAAGCTGGGTTTGCTCTGTTGTTTCCCAAAATTGATGGGGTGAAAATTCATACCTTCCATTTTTCTAAAGACTTGAAGAACAGGGTCTTTGATGAAAGTAAATTTGCGGAAGCAGGTATGTCCTTGTTTGCCCCTTTATTGATGCTTTTGTGGAGAGTGTTCCTTTTCTAGGTGCCAGCGTGGAGTTACGCGTGGAACCAAGAGCTTCTGTGCTAACTCTATCTCTGTTTTTCCCTTTCGGTGGAGTATTAAGGTTAAGTTATCCTGGGTATTGATCTCAGATTACCTCAGTTAGGTTCTAAGAGGTTAGGTTTTGAGCAGCCTCTAGTGGCAAATAATAAGTGAGCCTGTGCCATTGGGAATGATTCCCATCCCTACAGTTTAGAAACAAGTGGGGAGGCGCTGCTTCTCTTCTCCAGAATAACTGCATTTAGGTGCTTAGTCAGGTGTTCTAGCAAGGAAAGGTAGAACAGAAGAAAAATACAGTTTACATGCCTCTTCTTGTGTCCTCAGCAGGGTAGATCACTTATGAAAAGTAAAATAATGAGGACTTCTTGAGTCTTCTAGAAACCTGTGAGTTTCTGCCTTGGGATAAGTTTCTGGCTGATTGTGTGTAATTTTTTTAATTTTCCAGTACAGCTGCTTACTGTGTTGTGGTTGTTCTTGAATAACCTATATGCTCACTTCTTACCTGTGAAAGGACAGCTGAGTAAAACCGAAGAGCAGTGCCTTCAGAGACTCTGGTAAAACTCAAATGCTCTGCTGAAGAAGTGGAAAGCTGGAGGAGGCACATGCAGTTGTTTTGTCCTTGCTAGGTTATTTTCACAAATTCTTGCTTACGTGGGGAATGCAGCCCAACTCCTGAATGTTTTTCTGATTGCAGCAACAGAAAGCTATTAATTACTAGAGGTGTGATGTGCTATTGGAGGAGAGCCTAGGATGATTGGACTTAAGGGGCCAGGATTTAAAAATAAGAGGATTGGTGTTCGTGCTTTTGTTTGTAGGTCTGAAGAACAACCCAGATCTCCGTGTGGTTATTCTGTTTGGCTACAACTTCTGGAAGTCTGGAGCGACTAGATTTTTTCATCAGATCGTCAATCCTTTGAATGAGAAAAGTATCATCCTGGCTGGGGGACAGGTGGAGAGCTTTACATCACTGACCTCTGAGAAGTAGGTATCTTTTTCAAGGTAAATTGTAAAGAAGATTGAAAATGAGAGCAATGCTGCAGAAGCCATAGCGTTTTATTAGTTAGGTCATATTAGAAATGCCTTTTAACAGTATGTAGTGATTTGACCCTGGCTGGTGGCCAGGTGCCCACATAGCTGCTCCATCACCTCACCTCCTCTGCGAGACAGGGGGAGAAAATACATCAAAGGGCCCATAGTTTGAGGTAAGGACAGGGAGATCACCCATATCTACTGTCGCGGGCAAAACAGACTCCATTTTGGGTAAATCAGTTAAATTTATTAAAGAACAAATCAGAGAAGAGTAGTGAGAGATAAAAAAAATTTTAAAAAAAGTAACACCTTCACCCCATTCTTCTCTTCCTCATGGGCAAAACATCAATCCCAGTTTATCCACCTCCTCCCCCAGAGCGGTGCAGGGGGACAGGGAATGGGGGTTGTGGTCAGTTCATCCGATGTTTCCACCACTGCTTCTTCCTCCGGGGCAGGACTCCTCATGCTTCCCCTGCACCATTGTGGGGTCCCTCTCGTGGGAGACGATCTTCACACACCTTTCTCCAGTGGGGCAGTCCGCCCCAACGGGAGTCTGAGGTGCAGTTCTTCAGGGGAAACTGCTCCAGTGCGAGTCCCCCACGGCGTCACAGAAGTCCCACTAGCCAAGCTGCTCTGGTGTGAGCTTCTCTCTTCCACGGGCAGGTTCTGGCAGCAACCTGCTCCACTGTGGCCTTCCCACGGGGTCACAGCCCCCTTCAGGCATCCACTCACTCCAGCGTGGGGTCCTCCACAGGCTGCCGGGCGACCCTTCATGGACTGCAGGGGGACATCCTGCTTCTCCATGGTCTTCACCACAGTCTGGGGGAACCTCTGCTCTGGTGCCTGGAGCACATACTTACCCCTTCTTCTTCATTGACCTTGGATTCTTCACATATTCTCACTTCTCTGTCTCTCTGCCAGTTGTTGTGTGGTGCAGTTATTTTTTTTCCATGCTTCTTAAATACATTTTCACAGAGGCGTTCCTATCCTATCATCACTGATAGGCTCAGCCTTGGCCAGAAGCGAGTCTGTCTTTGGAGCTGGCTGGCATTGGCTCTATCAGACTTAGGGGAAGCTTCTAGCAGCTTCTTGTGGAAGCCACCCCTACAGCCCCCCAGCCACTGAAATCTGGCCAGGCAATCCCAATACACAGTACTAAAATGAGATTTATTTTTTTTTAAGAGAATAAAGTCCAAATGCTGTACTGTGATCTAGCCAGAAAAGCTAGGAGCTTAGTTTCACTGTGTTACAAATTGGTTTCTGGAGATGCTGGAAATCCCTCTGTGATGGAGATACCCTTATATGTGTTTATCGCAGTCTGTGTGTACTCTCTAGCTTCCAGATAAATTGTCACTCACTGGGACAGAGACCATTTACGTGAACATTCTGGTTTTGTATCAGCCTCATTTAGGTTCCCATTACAGAGCAGTAGCTTGAACACGTGAACAAGCCTGTGCCCCAGGAGCACACCTGATATGGTGCTGCTGCTGAAGGATGTGGCGCTCGCAGGACTGGGCTAGATCTCATCCACATTAAACTTCTTCTCGCTGCCAGGATCCCTGCAGGGCAGATTTGGGCTTCAGCTGTTCTGCTGCACAGGCAGAGCCCTCAAGGGTGCTGGTGCATCCTCGTGGAGCGTCCTGTGCCGGGATGTGCAGTGCAGACATGGCTGCGGGCTCCTCTAATGCCAGCGTAGGTCTGGACTGCTTAGTCATAACAACGTTTTTCTTGCATCTGATGAATGCCAGCTGCATCATTACTCTCGATAAGGGAGCCAACCATATATTAAATTATTGCCAATAAAGCCCAAGTAGGGAAGTACTAAAACCAACGTGTCCTGGCCAAACAAGTAGACTTAAAGCAATACGGATCCGAAGCCAGTGCGGACTGCTGCCCTGTGTTGATACGTAAATGCTGAGTATCTTTGCTTGTCTTAACTGATAGTTTAGTTGGAATTACAGAGCTCTGACATACACAAATGGTGGAATTTGGCTGGTCTTTGAAAGCTAGGCTTACTCTCAATCCCTGGTAATGGATTTGAAAGTTTTTCCTTGTGGAAGGTTGCTAAAATTTGAAGGCTTTCGTTTGTTTTTTGACTGTGGGTGGCTTTCAGAATCACTTGGATGTTCTGCTTTGAAACCTACTTCTGCCACAGCAGAAATTTATTCTGGTTGGAAGTGGTCTCCCTGGAGCATTCTCTAATGCGCTTCCTGTTGCGTTTCAGTCACAGCGCCCAGCCCGGTGATGCCTGCGGCGTGGTTGGGCTGGCTTTCAGCGGTCCCCAGATCCAGAGCGCTACTGTTCTCTTAGACCAGGACGTAGCTGATGAGAGGACAGCAGAAGCAGCCATGCAGCGCCTCAAAGCAGCCAACATCCCCGAGCACAACACCATCGGGTTCATGTTCGCCTGTGTTGGCAGAGGATATCGGCATTATAAAACCAAGAGGAATATGGAAGCCGATGCGTTTAGGAAGTTTTTTCCACACATTCCCCTCTTTGGCTTTTTTGGACATGGGGAAATAGGATGTGATCGAATAGTTACTGGGAATTTTGTATTAAGAGAATGTAATGACATAAAGGATGCCCTGCTTCATAGTTATACTACCGTTATGACTCTTATTCATCTTGGTTCAACTAAAGCAAACCAAGCGTAAATATGTTTTTAATGCTTCAGTTAGCTGTTTGTTTCATTCCAGAAAGCTGAGAAGTCTGGAAGAGTGGACATCTTGCCATCAAAGCCCTTTCCAAAACGTAAACATCGTTTTGGTAATACTGTCGAATCCTGTAGCTGGAATAGAGTTTAATGTAATAGCTGCGAGGAAGCTTTGCATTTTGTGTAATCCCCTGTACACATCCGAATTGCAGGTAAATGATACTTGATGAAATTCTGCAATTGAAGAAAGCCTGTTTCTTCCAAAATGAGAATCGTTTGCACACATGGCAGTTGGAGTCCAAATATTGACATGTAGAAAAAAGCAGTGCTTTGATGTGCTCTATTCATGTATGTAAAACAGTCCAGAAAAACCACTGTTGCATACTGAAATACTGATGCACTAAATCCACCGTTTCCTGGATTTAATTTTGAGATGCACAGCCTGCTCAGACTTGAGTCCTGTTTACAGAAATGAATGGTTTTATTAGAGAAAATGAATGAAAATCTTTAGAGAAAAGCGCTCACTAAATAAATGTAAATAAAATGTAAAAGTATCCTGCCTTCTATTCTTGGAGAAGAAGCTCTGATTTAAAGAGATTTTGTCCAGATACGAGCTTGACTTGTCTCACTGTCTTGAACTGTATTTCAGGTGTCTTAAATAGCTGGTTTAGAATAATATCTGCTACTTTGTGTGTACCAGCAATTTCAGACTTTGTGTATTGAAGTCTACACAACCCAAACGCACGGGATGGTTTTTCTTTTAGGTTCTCTTGTAGCACGATGCTCTCCATCATAAACTTCCAGAATGCTGAACATTAAAACTACCTGGTATCTTTTAAGTTCCTTTAAAAAACTTTTCTTTCTAATTTGAAATTTTGGGCCACACAAGATCTGTGTTCCGTTTATATAGAGCCTTCAAATGAGACTTGTGCTTTTACATGTTTTTCCCATGCTTTTCCATCGGTCACCTGTTTTGATTGCTGCAGCTGGAATGCAGTACTACAGAGTTCATGTAAGTAAATTCAGCATAGTCTCAGTATAGCTAATAAGACGTTTGCTCCCTTTTATTTTCACTTAGCGATAGAATGACAAGAAAATAAGATTAATATTGCACCATTTCACCACGCTTCTAAATGGCAGATCAGGCAGCTGGCCCGTTTTCAGTGTAGTTAAAAGAAAATACTTAGCTGGCTGTTGTACAACAAAACAAATGATATTTTGCTTTAAACACAAACCAAGACTGCAGATGGCAGCTCTTCGTTAGTTAGAACTTTTCCTGAATGTGGTCTGACAAGCTAAGGTAGAGATGGATCTGTCCTGAGAGTTAACTCTTGGTTTCAGTTGTGTGCTGAGCACAGACAGTGCTTTGCTGTGGCTGTGCTGATGGGGGTTTTTAATTAGAAGGTGGAGGATGAGCTGTGAAGTTCCAGTGGCCTTCTAGGGATAGATTAGTAAGTGTGGGTGTGACTTGGAAAATGCTCAGTTACTGCATTTAGAAGGCAAATTATTTGGAAATGGAGTAAGCTTGAATTTTAAAAGAAGCCTCTCAGTGGGAGGTGGATAGATGTTTTTTTCAGCATAACCAGAATGTCATGTTTGGCTCTTTTTGTCTGCATAAGCTATGGTTTTTAAGAGAAGGCCAAGAAAATACTTAATTTCTGTAACAGTGACAGGATTCCTCTAGCTGTTGGCATGAGTTAGGGCTTGTCAGCGTCACTACTTCGATAAGCCCGTGAACTTTAACTTTTTGCCATACTAGAAGTAGAGGAAGCACGACCCACGTGTCCTGAACAACAGTGCAAACATGTCCAGGAGTGTCTGAAGAAACATGGTGAGCTCCAACGATGGTGCAGCAAAACCAGAGTATGGTCTGAAGGAGCTGATCATCAGCGATGTCCTGTAGCTGCCCAGTCCTGTAACTGAGGAGACTTGAGAGGTAAACATAGTACAGAAAAGATGCTGGCAGGGAGGACGCCCAAGAGCCCGCACCTGAGTCCGGGATCATTTCTCCAGCCTCAGGGAGTGGGGCTGAGCCCAGGGGACCTCAGAACTGGACACTGTGTGGCTGGAACTGCTATGCTGTCCCTTCCAGAGTGCATCATGTCTCCCAACTAACAGCGAAGTGGTATAATTGATAAAATTGCAACATCTGTGATTAAACGTGTTTTGCTATCCAAATTCGTTTTGTCTCCACACTGTCGTTTGCTTTTCAACCACGACAACTCCTGAGTTAAAACAAAATGTATTTGCTTAAAAGGTGCACATACCAAAAGGCAGAGTTTTTTCTTAATTGCTACGAAGTTCTGAAGTGGTCAAAGTTAAATGAATATTCAGCAATTGAGGCAAATGTGAATAGCAGGACTGCTCCGAAGGTAATTACCTGCAGTTACAGTGCTGATGGTAATATGTTTTCAGCAAGAGAATATAATCCTGAAATGACCACAATTGGATTTTGGTTTTAAGAAAAAAAGAAAGCCTTCACAGTCACAAGAGCTGCATGGAGGAGTGATGGTTTTGCAGACAAAAGGTAAAAGATATTCTTTTTCCCTATGTTTTGAGTATGAATAATGTCCCATTGCATATTTTTTTCTTTAAACATCTTTCAATTAAGTAAACTGTAGGTTTCAGGAATACAAAAAATAATGGGTTAGTGGTGTGATATATAAACTCGCACTTGCACAACCAAAACAGCGATTACCAAACGTAAAACTATAGTTTTTATTTTAAAATTACTAATCAAAAAATCCTGTTACGGTGCGTTTCTATAATGTGCAGTTGTAGGGTTGCAAGGTAAGGAGCCAAATTACACTAAACTATCATAGCTCTACTGCCAGAAAGCAAATTCATATTAAAAACTGTAGAAAACTGTGAAGATGGTGAACCTGGGGTTTGTTAACTCTCTGTGTCAGATTAGTTTTGGCCCAAATTAATATTGGAACAAGCCTTAATTTTAACAGATGAACGAGTCACACTGAATCATGCCCTCTTGGCAGGAACAGTAAACCAAGATATGTAAATGATGCAGCCGAACTTTGTCTTTCAGCGTACACCAGCAAAGGCTGATAAGAATGTTAAGCCCCAGACTAAATTTTGAAAAAACACATGATTACATATGATTCTGAAATTAATCTTCAGTTAAAAGTCTGCCTTCAAGCTCAATGTCATTACCCCCTCTTCGTTTATTTTTCTTTCTGAAAAACGGAGAACTTCTTCCTACTAGAAATAACTGTAGCAGCGGTAATGACCTTTCCATGTAAGACACTAACTTTGGAGTTTTTTGAACCCCAGCTGTCTGGCCAAAGGAACGAGTTAAAAAAGCCATGTGCCATTCAGATGCCTAATTCTGTCTTAGTGCAATGATACAGGAAAATAACGCTTGAGGTGTGGACGTTTGCGTAGTTAGAAGTTACAAAGATAGTAAACTTGTACATTTAAATGTTTTTTCGTATTATAATCTCTGAGCACTCTGCAAACATTAAGAGAGTAATTATTTTCTCCACTAATTGTTTTTCATTATTATATTGTGGGAAGGTTTGAGGGGTTTTTTACTGTGTGAGTCTGTGGTGGATCTCTAAAATACATTCCATCTTACTACAGCGGTTGAATTTTGTGCACACAAAAGCACATAAGATAAACATCAGACTCAAGTTTCTTACTTGTCTTAAACCCACTTCTCAGCCAGCTTTGATAATTCAGGAGCAGAAAATTTACTTCAAAATCAATGGGATTTGTGCTTCTAAATGCTTTTAAAAAATAAATTGCCATCATTACATTTCACAGCTAGATCCTCACTGAGATTAGCAGGTAGCACAACTTCTCAAAATAAATGTTTCAGAGTGATTCACATCACTGAATCTGTGGCAGTCATGTCACCTTTTCAAGATAAATTTTCACAGCTATAAGAGTTAGAAACAGCTCTTTTAAAATAAGCTCCTCTTAATGTGAGTTGTTAATATGGCAACAGTGAGAGCAAATACTAATCCCCTCAAAACAGGAACTCTCCCAGGATCTCCAGAACTGGTGAAAATGACTGAGTAGTTTGAAACAGCAGCAAATTCTGTGATGGAAAACATATGGCATAGATTCAAATTACAGACCCCTGTTAAAAAATGTCTCAAGTGGTTGCTCAGCTACATTTTTACAGCCCATCATTTGCCTTTACAAAAGTTGTAGTCAAAATATCATTACTTACATTGAGGGGATAATTTGAAAACAGTCTCTTTTAATGTACACTGAAAAAAGAATGTTCAAATGTTATACAAACTGCCACAGAGGTGCATTTAGAAGAGTTAGAAATTGGATGTAGTTTTAATTTGGGGGACAAAACCAGCATGATCTTGTTATTTCAGGCTCTACAGCTGCAGATTCTGTTGACACGCCCTGAGCTGCTGTAGAAATAATTCCTGGTGAAAGGTTTTGTGGAATATTGGTCGCAAACGGAACCGAGTTCCAGCCTGCCTGTCAGTATTTCACTAAATTTATATTTGGCATTTTGCTATCAAGAAATTGTCTCTCACATGATAGACAGATTATGTTGAACAGGTTACAATGGCAAGAAAAGCAAGAACAGACTTTGGCTAAGCACAAGCAGATAATGTTACGTATAATAGTGAAAAACTTTGGGGTTTTTCTGGCAGGCATGCAGGTGTTTGGGGGGGTTCGTTTGCTCATTTTCTGCCAAAGTGCAGTAAACACTGCAGTACTTGTCTTGAAAGAAACCATTTTTTCATTAATTGTAACCACAAAAAGCAAATATGTCTGGATTATTTTGATTATTCTGTGTTATCTGAAATACAGGAATATTCCATCTCTTCATTTAAGTATATAGGGGTCACCAGAAGGCATTAGAACTGAGAAGAGGTACAATGAATACCTGCATCCTGGTAACCTAAAGCACGCTGCCAGGGAATCGTAACGCAATTTGGTTTTAGACTTTTTCTCAAACTTAGGCAGATATGTCTTCATTAATATTCCTGTGTTTGAGTATGTTCATAGTACAAATGGAAACATCCAAATGAATCCAGTCTCTTCAGTTTTTAGTGGAATTAGCTGGATGTCCTTTAAATCTGGAAGGATGGATACCAAAAGAACCTAACTGAGGGGACTGTTTTGTTGTTAATTAATGTGTAAGAGTCGGGTGTCCCTTGTTAAATCCATAACCACCTCTGGCTAAAGCTCTCCCTCTCCCTGGGCAGTCCCTTCTAGGTACTTATCTCCTGACAGCGAATTAGCTGAACACATAACAGGAATCTTACTTTCAAGTAAGATAACAGGAATC